GACCAAAGGACAAAATGACAAAGGAAGAAGAACCAAACATCATCTACAAAATAAATTGCTCAGACTGTGAAAAACACTACATAGGACAAAGTGGACGACCTCTTCAGCTTCGTTTACGTGAACATCAAGCAGGAGTCAAACACAACGACAATTCTTCGCTTATATCAATACACACCGATAATATGGACACACATTTGATTGGAACAATGTGGAAATACTGGGTAGGGAGAGGACAAAGAACACTAGGGAATTTTTAGAAGCTTGGCACTCAGGTCAATCAGCAATCAACAAACACATCGACATTGACTCAATTTATCAACCAATCAGGAAAATCATAGGGGACACAGGATCAAGAAACAGATCAAAAGAGGGATGCAATCAAAACAAAGGTGCAAACAACGACAGATTTAAGGTCAACAGCAAGCAATCAAGATCGGGGTTAGCAGAACAAGCTACAGGTCAAACATGGAGCAATTCTAATGCTTCACTTCTATCTGAAGTTTGTGCTGATGATGTTGTTCAGAAGAACAATGAAAGCTCCACAACCAAAACATCCAGCTCAGAGAAGCAAACACCTCCACCACAAAACAAGTAAACATATATAGTGATATTGTATCTAAATGAAATGAATTGTTAATAAACTAAGGATTCAGGATAGTACATACTTAGTATATTTCTGAATTTAATGTATTTACTAGGTATATTTGCAAAAATGTAGAGTTCGTTCCACTTAGTTATTGTTTATAACATAAATAAATGAAGCAATGCCGACATATAAATTAATGAGGCTAATTTCAATCGAAATAAAATTTTACACTAAAGCCATTTAATATAAATGAAATGATGATTTTGAGTGAATAGTATATTATCCAGAAAGCAATTTCTACCAATATCCTAATATAGAGAATTTTGTTTGTTGCTTAAAAATGATATGAACATTGTCAGTGGTTATTTTATCCGTTTATCATTATCTCATCATATTTTTTTAAAGTAACTTTGGTTAACCATTTATTTATCTCAAGAAAAAGAACACCTGGAAGTGTGCTTTTATTTATCAGTCTACCAAAACGGTTAAATATCTCTGTTTTCGGAACTGATTCAACTAAGCTTAAAGCTATTATTTCGCCATGTTAACATTTTGTAGTATGCGCCTAGATTAGTTGGTTGGTAAATCGTTCATTGAGATGCTTACAAATTCTCCGTGTAGTTAGCGTTTAACTAACTGCAATCACTCAATCAATATATACTGATCTAATCCACCATTTATCTGCTTATCAAAATGTAACTTTTCAAAATTCATTAGTTTGACTTTGTGATCTTGATAGATTAACTCATTTATTTAAGCTGTTTCTCAACAGGTTGAACAGATTTCATTCGTGTAGTAAATCTGATTTACTATGTCATTTGTGTACACGTGTTTACCAAGTTAATTTGTTTTGATTACTCTAATGTGATGTCATTGAAAGGAGTAAGTTAATTTATTTTACAGCTAATTAAAACAAAAAGCATACCACTTAGCCGAAAGAATTTGTTTTTCATTGTAAATTTTTAAAAATTACTTATAAATAAATACGAATAGCATGAATTTGCAATTGTTAAAACACCTACACTACTTCTTCATTCAACAAGCAAATAATTGTAGAATGATTATGAATCATTCTAAAAATATCTAATCGTTAATGTGCATTTATGCCTTCTCTTTATCTACTTGTTTCATACTTGTTATGTTCAATGTCACATATTCACAGTGTTCTGCAGTCTTTGTAGTTCTGTTCATCAAAATTGAATACGTCAGAATATCACTATTTCGATTTTTCCATCAGTTGTCTTACCAAAACACTATTGATTGTTAGCAATCATCATCATTCAAAGAGTATTAGTTCTATTGTGCAGTTGTTTTATCAAACATAATTTTAGAATAATCAATTATCAGTAATATCTCAATGAGTTAAAAGTTGAATGGGTTTCGTAAAAAGAAGAATTTCTATTTCATTCTAGACGTTACAAATTTTGTTTTAAACCGTATGTATATAAAGGATATGTTTGTGTCTTAAAGCATCATCTGTTAGCACCTTTTTGGATGATAGGGATAAAAATTAGAAATGTTTTTGCATTCCCTTTTCATGTTAAAATGATGAACTGTTTGTATAAATATTATACATAAATGAAGATTAGGTAATGTTTAAGGCAAAAGCTAGTGAATTAGAAAGAAGACAATATACCTCCATTAAATATTGTCTTTAAGAAGCAAATATAACACAAATTTGAGATTTTCAAAAGGAATTGGTACATTATTATTTTACTTTAAAAAAAAGATACTTTACATAATTTTTGCTTGATTAAACAGTTACAGACTAATTACAGCATTTAATGAGACTAAGAAATGATTAAATTATTACTCATACTGAATAAGTTAGCGAAAATTACATCTATCAAGAAAATAAATTACAAAAAATTTTAATTATCATGCATAAATTTCTTGTATTGTATGTACACATTTTTATTCTAGTATAAGATAACAATTGTTTTAAAATATTGACAATTTACTTGTCTCATTATCTTGTAGATTCATAATAGAACAAAATATGAATTTTCCCTATACACAATTTGGTAGATAAATTAGCCAACTAAAATTTCATACGTTGTAGTTTAATTATTCACTATCTATTCGATAATTTTAATGTTTCTATACCAAGTTCACACATAAGATTCTAGGTTGGTGTTGAGATAATGTGTGAGCTATGCATTAAATCTATGCGTGGTGTGTCTTGGTTAGTGCATACATTCAATGAAAGACTAATCTATCATTCAATAATTTAGTAATTAAGTAATACAAAACTTAATTGTTACTAAATAAATTAAGTGCCAAATATTTCAGGTTGAGCATAATGAAATCAATAAATAGACTTGTGACTTAAATTTTTGGTAACATTCAATATGGGTTTTTTTTTCAATTATGGTACTTACAAAGGCTATGTTAACACAGAACAGTAGAATATTTATTTGCACTATGAAACATTTGATTTTAGACAGATTGCATGTTCACAATCAGCTCCCTTTACTACTCTTTGGGTAGCAGTAACTTTAGTCTTTAAGCTAAATTAATTGCTGAAAACCTATTATCTCAAGTTGCGTTTAATAAATGTTTAGTATGAATACTAATTTATTTGTGATACTTACCTGTCAAACTAACTATGACATTCAATTTCAATTTTCGAACAGTGAATCGATTTTATAATGTTACCTTATTCAACACATAACAATTGACTTAAGTAGTATGTCTTTGAAAAACGTGCCATTATATTTGGTAGATAAACAAACACTAAGTAGTACAAATTTATATGCGTCGTGCTATAAGCTAGTTTTCTAGTAGAGACATAGGAGATATATATGCTATGTAATTAACCACTAAATGTTGAACAGTAAGAATTGATCACTCAGCTAAAAGCAATCCGAAAATGAGTAATATATACAACGGAGGTGCTTACTTTAGCACTCTGTACGCATATTTTATTACAAAATGTATACTTTAAGCATAAGTATGAATTGAAATGATACTTACTATTCAACTTAAATTTTCAGTAAACAACAACGGAGTTATCAAGAAATTATATATTTAATGGTGGAATGATGAAAAAATTCAAAATAATCCAGTCTTGATTACCAACACTAGAAATAGTTCATAGTACTGGTTGAATAAGTGATAGTTATGGTGACTGAGTAGTCTTGTGGATAATACCTGAAAACTGGGTTGATAAATAATACTTCAGTAAATTGTGTTAATTTCCAGATCAACTAATATGTTATGCATAACTCAACTGGTTGTATGATCCCGAATCCATACTGATCGGTATACTGATGATTGTATTGTGTGAAGACATAAAGATGATCAAGATAGTTTTTAAATTTTAAGCTACGAATATATCATCTGTAACAAATATTGAGGATTTTAACAGTGGGATAGTGTTTTGACTCTTTGACATATGGTAACTGTTTTGATGATTAAATGAAGTTTATTGGCAACTGATATGTCATTTAATTGCTACGCTTTTGTCCTGTTCCATTTTTATTACTTATTTCCATTTATTCTTAAGAACCTGTTGGTGATTTCAGCTAATTTAGCCAGCCTACTAAATAATTAGCTAACACAAAGTAGTATTGAACTACATAGTCAGTCATCCGTCTGCATCCTTTTCATTTCTAATTCTTTCAGAGCTGTGATCGTCTGTCCAAAATGCAAGCATGGTTCTATGCTTTAAAACATACATTTTACAGACGGCACGAATACATTTATTTGAAACCATAGAAACTGAGTCTGAGCTTCCTTATGGGCATCAACATTAGGACGTTCGTAGATCAAACCGAATAGTCTTAAATGGGAAGAAACGCGCGTCCTAAATTCCACTATTAGCAACAATCCAAGTATATCTGATGTTTAAGAAAGTCTCAGTACATTAAAATACAGGTGCATAAACGAAGAATGTTCATGTTAGTAAATTTTAGTGAAATTCTAAAATCATAAATCTGAAATACTCACTAAATTTGGGTAAAAAGAAGACATGTAAACGTTAATCTGTAATGTTTCGAGGAAAACAACATAAAAATTTAGAAGAATTATGAATAATGAACTGATTATTTGCAGAAATTCATAAAATAAGTCAAAGTACAATTTATGTATCATACTTATATACAGAATTATTCACAGATGTAACTCACACTTACAAATGCACCAGGAAGACGATGAACAAAAATATAGTTATACAAATGGTGAACATTATCAGCCACAAAAAAAAATCCATTTGAATATATTGTTAAACTCATGACTTTTTCTTACGTAGAAAATACAAACCAAACCATACCAGTTTAAAGAAGGTAAACAACGTAACTGTTACTTTGAAAAAGAAATTTTACTGGTAAAAATAATTTTAAATACTGACATTAGTACTTTGTCGAATGGACAAATGTACTGCATGATTTGTTGGCAATAGACTTAAGAAGTCTCAGACATCAGTCGAATCTACACAGTTAACTTCTTCCAGTACAAAAGGGGCATCATTTAAGGTTATTTTAACTGGAGGCGAATCGTGAACTTTCTCTTTTACACATAAGCGAAAATTGGCGCATAATAAAATACTGTGGATAAGACATAGAACAGCTATCATACTATTAATAATACCCATAATTAGCATGCTTGACTTAGGTAGAGATCCATCTGAGTACTGTTGTATAGTTGTGCATGCAATTGCAGTTGTTACTATTAATGGAAATATGCAACTAACAACACTAGCCGTATCCCACTCATCTGAGTTCGCTAATCCAGCTGTCAAAGTTGCACCAGCAGTTAAAATTAATAAAAATGCAGCAATATAAGCAAACGGGATTAAAACTGAAGGCCAAGCCAGATCTGACTGTGCAGAAACGCAATATGAAAATACTGTTTGAATAATAATCAAAATAAAACTTGCACATATTAAAACACTAAAAGCTACTATATGATACAGTGCAGCATTAATTACTTCATATTTGTTTCGAGTTTTCTTCATGCTTGATGAAACCGTTCACGCAATCCACAATATTTCCTACCGAAAGAATTGGTGATTTGAAAGGATGCGAAATGAATATATTAAGTTGTTAAGAGTTATCTGGTCAACACGGTTACTATTCAAATGCGTTTTATAAAATCCAAGTTGCGTATTTTTATTTATCTGATATTGTCAACTGATCTGTAATGTCAGTGAGATACATATTAAGAAGCTTATTGCAGACATCAAAAGATACGTGCAATCTTATCATACTCTACAGTCTATGCTTGTATGAGAATTAGATTCTGATTGGTTGTAGAAAAGTTTTGTTTCTTGTTTAGTATTGACATACAAATCAAAAATCTGTTTGTGGGTGTTTTATCAGTGCTTAGCGTAAGAACTAATTTCTAAAATCTACTTAGGTACATACTCGTTGATATGTAGTCTTTATTACACACTATGGTTAAAATGTTGCAAGTCAGTGAGACGCTGTAACTGTGTGCAGAAACAAGAAATTATTTCTTCATTGTGTAGCGTTTGCAAACACTTGTTTGACTATGTGACTTTTTTCTTCGAGAATGATGAGTCGGCAGTTGTGAGAGACGAAATGAAAGTTTTATGTCAAAAATTGTATTTAGGTTTTAGAACTTTGTAGCTGTTTTTAATAAATACTGATATTTATTCGAGGTTCACAGTGAACCTAAAACTTGGAGAGAAGTAATAACCAGTATCAGATAGCGATGAATTGTTTCATTTAGAACTAATACAGATACATTTATTATTTGAAAAGAAGGAGCATGTATCAAAGTACTTTAAGCGAAAACTAGGTAGTGTGTTTCATGGTAATGAGCTGAGGATGAAATTACCGGCCGATTATACTCGAATTTATTGGTCTGACAGCATTTACTCTTCACAAGACCTGAAGGTTCTACGGGTTGATTACTGCTACAGTTTCGAACTTGAACAAAAAGCTTACCTATGACTCATGACTTTTAACAGTTCTACATATGACATCAATCGTCGATGGAACTAAAATAAACTTTTTCAGTTAGTGGTTTCAGTCGTTCTTATTAACTAAGTTATACAAGAGACTTCATTAGATTTTCTTATCCAAAGCACCTATCAACTAGAAAATATCAAACTTCTGTGTTTAACAATTTAGATTTTAAGATAAAGAGTTTATTGATACTTTTTTTCCATAGTAGTGGTGGGTAGTGAAAGCACACGAGATGGAAAAGACAACGGCGAAAGGCAATAATAGATAACTTTCCCGCCTTATCAAGGAAACTGGTACTAGAAATATATCTGTTAGCAAAACTATCACTGAAAAGGATGGGCTTACTATTCATTCTCATTCTAGGAGATTGGATCGATGGACAGAACATTTGAGGGATCAGTTCAACTGGCCTTCAGCTACACTTCAGTTGCCCACGAACTCCAGTCAACCTGAGTGGCTAATCGATGTACATCCTTCAACTCCTAATGAGGTTGGTAAGGCCATTGGCAAGTCGAGGGAGAGAAGCTGTTCCTGATGGATTACACCTGAGATTTTTAAGGATGTTAGTCCAGTTTTAGTAGTTAGACTGACTGAGATCTAAGGTAGAATCTGGGAACTGGACGTACTCCCATCCGACTGGTTCCAATCCCTGATTGTCCCAATTCATAAGAAAGAACAAAAGTCACCTTGTGACAATCACAGAGGAATCAGCTAACTAATATAGTTTCTAAATTGTTAGCCTCAGTTATCCTTAGACGCCTAACTAGAGCTCGTGAAGAGCAGACTCGAGAAAACCAGGCTGGTTTTCGACCTACACGTGGCCGTATAGACCAGATTTTCACACTGCGTCATGTCCTTACTGTTCCGTCCAGTTGGACAGCTCATAAGCGACTATCTACTGGGACCCAGTCTAGGAGAGCTAGTTCTGCCCTAGGACTTAATACTATACCTACTCCGGCGAAGCCACGAGAAGCGGCATCAGGGCTCCCAGAAACACGAAGCGTTAACCTTGTTGTGTCTCTATCTGCACAAAGTGAAATCAAATTGATGATTTTACTCGGATCTTGTATACGCCGTGCAGAGAGGCTTCCTCAGGAACCCGCAGTCAGCAGTACGATTTCTCCCTCAGACCTTGAGTAACTTCTTTTAGTCTCATCGTTCTTCAATCGACCTGCCTGGCATGGTAGAACGTACAGTAACATATGTTCCAGCCAATATAGCTCGGTTGGGTCATCACGATAGTCAAGCCCGACCACCACGTCAAGGTAGCAGCTACGGTCGGGACAAACGTAGTAGCTGACTGACAGACATATGTCTAGAGGGGGAATCACTTAAGCAAGGCTCACCGGTATGCAATTTAAAACCGCTTCTTTCAATTTATAGTATGGTTATGGTAGGTAAAAATGGTGACGACCTTTATACTTTGTCAGAATATAAAACATTGCTTCTAAGCTAGTCTTCTCCGTAACCTAGTTTGGCCTTGATGGAATACTTAAGTTCGTCGATCACTTACAAGGTGAGCTTCGTTACTACAATCAAGTTGACGGATAAGAAGACTTAAAATTTACAAATGCCTTCTCACAGACTACACGTCTATTATGACAAACAAATATACAGAACTACTGCCGGAAAATAAATCATAAGGTTCTATTCTCAAGGCTTTACGCAACGGTAAAAATAAGCTTACCAAAATGATGCATCAGTAGACCAACTTTTAGTGATAAACATCTTATTTTTGACCAACTTTATTATGATATATATTCATCACATTTATAACTCAAAAAAAGTCTCGTTTCGAATCAATTTATTTAAAGTTGAGTTCTTTTAAATACATATGAACTGTGCAAAATATGTATTTATAATCAATTAGGTCAGTCATACTACATATATGGCACAAATGGACGGTCGATTAAGTTCTAACAGTATATCGACATAGAGAGATAAAATTACAATGAATGACAAAGCAATGGAAGTTGTAGTTATACCGGCAATAGTAAATGTCGGAAAAATCAAACATAATTCAAGAAGGAAGAATTTACAGAATTAATAAAAAGTGAGGACTGTCCGTCAAAAGCTAGTATAAGTGAAAAATTTCTTGATAAAAAGCAAAATCAAAAAAACAGACAAGATGGACAGTCAAAACCCTAAGCGTCAGTATATAATGACAGATTAACACAAGTAGTTTCTGTTACGTGGTAAATTGCACCGCTCGAATTGAAATATGGGTGGTCATGAATCCTTCGTTTTGCTCCGATGTGCGAAATATCCATTAAGTAAACAAAACATGGTTAACTATGTATTTTTTAAGTCCATCATTATTTGGCGTTTGTTTATCATCTGGAGCGCTGCATTTTGATTAGATTCGTAGGTGTCAAGATCATCTTTAGAAATCCAAGACATATCAGGAAGAAGCTTATAAGCGCCAATGTATTTATGCGGACAGCCATCCCATTCCTATAGATTTAGTGGTTAGTACATATACAGGTTTTCCTACCGTAGGTGACAGTAGACTGAAATACTGGCTAGAATCTGATTTTTCATACACATAATAGACATTTCCGGGCTTTTTTAGGAAATTACAGGGAAGTTTATGTAACTGAATATCTCTATGTGCGTTTTGTAAAATAGCCCTTGCCTGAGACTAAACAGACAAACATTAGATAATCTGTGGGGTTATAACTTACTTTCAAGTGTTGCATCTCTTCAACAATTAAACGAAGTTGAGAACATGCATTCGCACTGACAAAACTACTGGCACTTTCAACGTAATGTGCCAATTCAACTAAACTATTCGGGTCCAGAAGTTTTCTAGAATCATCTCTGATGCATAAAGTTGATGGTGGATCATCGGTATGTTTCATACTAAATAAATAATCAAATAATATTACCGAATAATGATGAACGTAGTGAATCAACTGAGTTTCATGTATCTAGAATGCTGCATTTTTAAAAACCACTTAGGGTATTTTAATATCGTCAAGCAGTCATCACAAGCTATACCGAGAGACAAAAAAATAAATACTCGCCAACCTACTTTTTAGTAGCAGCGGCTTTATACTATGCACTTACAATTTCAATATCCAATGCCTCCAACATCTTTATTCATAAGCTAGTATAAACCAATTGCTCTCGTATCTTGTTCTATCGTTACGGTTCCAGGTGCTTGTAAGTATCCAATGGATGGTGTTCTAGCCACACGACTGCACATATTCAAGTCAGCTGGCAGTTGGTTGTGAGTTTGTCTGACCCTATTGTTTCAGGACAGTAAGATTTTAGAATACCAGCAGCTGTAAAGTTACCAGGAGAGAGATAAATTAGTTGCAATGTAGATAATAATATTCAGAAAAGTTTAGAGTTGACAAGAAGATTTCAAAATTAGCTATATAAATTATTAATTTTGTTAATTAACTGTGTGAGAGAAAAAAAGAGTAAGCGAGGCAATTAAGTAGAAATATTAGGCGAGATATGCTAGGTAATTAAACTGAAGAAATGACGAGAATAACAATATTAAAGTCTCAAGGCATGTAACAGAAGTGCTTGATCCACGATTGAGATTCGCCAACTAGCATGCAGTCTATCTGCCTTGCTGTGAAACTCACTACTCTCAAGGTAGTTTCTGAGTCAAGATAGAAATGGGTCAGTGAAACCCATTTCCGCAACCTTCGCAATTGGTAGTTCGTGGAGGTACTGTGTCGAAGGCCTTTTCAAAATCAAGAAAGATTATGTGCACTCGTATTTTTCGGCCCCCAGCAGGTTGTCGAACTGTCTCATGCTATGAGAAGATTGGATGCACACGGCCTGCCTTTCTGAAACCCGTGTTGAACTTCATGGAAGATTTTGTTCGTTCCACATACTCCCTCGTTTGCTCGTCCAACCTTTACTTACTCAAAAACCTCAGACCTTACTTCTCATCCACTGAAGTAAATACACAGGATTTTTCAAAGCCTCCCTTTGCTTCATTACTGTCTACGCAGCGGTCCTTTCGTATTTGAATCGCTGTAGGTTGTTTGGGATAGGTCTTTAATGATTCTGATTGTTCGTTAGTTTATTACTTAAATAAACCCACAAACTCTTTCTGGAGAACATAACCTGACTTTTCTCTTTCTACTTCGACATTGTCATGTCCGAATGGTCCATAGTGTCGAATGAAGCAGATGCAGCCAACTCAGTCGTTGTCTTGAACAGGATCTCCAAAACATGAAGCATCGATAAGCTTCTTACATATTGAAGTAACTGAGAAGAGATGATCAAACTGTCACCTGTTTATTTTAGAGACCAGAATTACGTCCTAAATATTTTGTTGGATAGGAGCGTTCAGCATAATATTATTTCTCAGACTGAAACACTTTTTTAAACCTGGTTCTGCCAACGATGTTAAAACCGTGACATTTGGGTGGAGAACTTTGACACTAGATTTGGGGTTCGGCATGTCGTTACCCCGGCTGGTGCACTGTTACGGGTTTAAACATGACAGTAGACTAATGAATTGAAATTTAAGGACAATATTTTCTTTGCAAGACCGGAAAACTCGACTTTATGCCGCAGTTCACCATAGATATACGTCATAACGATGATCAGTCAGATCAGGAAGTAAATGCATCTTGATTAGAAACTAGTTTAGTTCAACAATCAATTATAGATTCTGAATATTCAGAGGATAATTAGAGAGAGGGACGTGTATTACCAAATATGCTCCAGCTGACAGATGCACATTTTACCTATGTGCATGTATACTTGTTACCTCTAACGCGGTTTTCTAATCGCTAAATTCACATTTTTAGACAGATTCTCAAGTTTAACGGTAGCAGCACCATAACCGAAACAGTGATCGAATATTTTTTTTCAACTGGGTGACCAATTTCGGTGCAGCTACTACTATGATAACTGTCGGAAAAGCCAGATTTCATCTCGAACCATCTAACAAGCTGTCGAATTTCAGGGCTCTGACAAAAAGCTTTGCACAGAGGATCATTCTTGAGCTGGTAGATTGGTGGGAAGTCTTCGTCAGGTGAATGCTGGCATACTATCATATTCAAACGCCACTCAGAATTGGCAGTAACAGAGTTCCTGTCGCTTCTTATGCTGATCAGATACACAACTGTCAAAACTATTTTACAGTGTTCCTCAGCAGAGCAGTTTCCGATGGAACCATCAAAACATCATTTTTTGCTCTGAGACCAGAAAGGCTGACCTAGCAAGTTGTACGGGTACAACATGTCCGAAGAAGCATCAAACGGTCGCTGGTATGATTGAATCATACTCTGGACTACACAGAAAGATTCAAACATCTTACCCTAGAACCTCTATGACACAGCCGGTTGAAAAACCAACTGATACTTCTCTATGAAATAATATATGGCCTCTCGTTCGTTAAATGCCGTTCAATTATGGACCACGATCCGGCTTACAGATTAAAAACAACGCGTATACACTACTAACGACAAAACACAGAAAGTCACCGATGTAATTTCTATATAACAGGATACAGTGTATTATGGAACAGATTACCAATTTCGACCAGTATCTAGAACACGGTCACCAGGTTCGAGAAACTAGTAATGCTGTTGTTAGACTCTATAGCGTTTATCAAATACTCTCGGAACTCACATCAATTCCCGAGGAACATTTTTATGGTCCACCAAATATTTAGATAAACCTTAGAAACTAATAACTGACCATGAATATATTGCACCTGCATTACCATCCATACTAACTGTTGTAGGTCACTCCTTTAGGCTGTGACACATAACATTCAAAGTTTTCATAAGACTCGAATCCAAAAAACTTTCTTCTTACCTTCCACAGCACTTTCAGTTTTTATTTCTGTTAGAAAGATAAACTGAAAAGGCTGTAGACGCTACTCAGCTACTGTCGATCGCAGGGAACTTAAATTTCCTGTATGATTGTGATTTTATTCTTGTTCATAGATTAAAAGTTTATCATTTTTTGATAAACCAGTGAGAAAACTTAATTGGTCTGAAAAATGTGATGTATTTGCGCTATATATCTTGAACAATTTATCTTTTTTATCTGCTCAAGTCATGTACATCGAAATGTCTTGCTTCCTTATCTATTTATCGCATACGAATTTTTAAAACTTTCTCCTCCCATACTTTCTTCAGCTGCCAATACTTCCTATCTCCAAACGGCTTATACACTGACTTATGTCTTAAGATAAATACGATTACTTACTTACTTGCTTACTTACTTACTTACGCCTGTCACCCCCAATGAAGCATAGGCCGCCCAACACTTTCCTCCAACCAAATCTGTCCTGGGCTTCCCTTTCCAGTTATTTCCGATTTTTGTTCATTCCTCTCATATCTTTCTCTATTTCTCGGCGTAATGTGTTCTTTGGCCTTTCTCTTTTCCTTTGACCATGAGGGTTCCATGTGAGGGCTTGTCTTGTGACGCAATTATGTGCTTTTCGTAGTGTATGTCCTATCCACTTTCAGCGCTTCTTCCTGGTTTCATCATCCACTGGAATGTGGTTTGTTCTCTCCCACAGTACATTGTTGCTGAACGAACGGCTTGCAAATATCTCACCGTTTTCTTTCCTTTCTCCCAGTCCAGGTCGTCCCATGATGTCTTCATATCCAGTGTTGTCCATTCCAACCTTGGCATTCAGGTCTCCCATAAGAATCGTCAAATCCTTTGGTGAGCATTTATCGACGATTGACTGCAGCCTTTCGTAAAATCGATCTTTAATGTCGTCATTGTAGTCATTGGTAGGTGCATAACATTGGATGACGTTCATTGTAATGTCCTCTTTCTTCTTTTTGAAGGATGCTTTAATGATCCTGGGGTCCATGAGATTCCCATCCTATTAGTGCCTTCTGTGCATGTTTGGACAGCATCAGTGCAACTCCTTGTGTATGTGAAGCATTTTCCTCTTCATGACCAGAGTATAACAGCAGTTCCCCTGAAGCTAGTCTCAGTTGTCCTACCTGTGTCCAATGCGTTTCGCTGATTCCAAGCACCTCCAGGTTGTATCTTTTCATTTCTGCAGCAACTTGAAATAGTCTTCCAATCTCCCAATGTTCGAACGTTCAGTGTACCTAAAAGAACGGTTGCTGTGGTTGTGGGAAGAGGCTTCGGCCCTGTGACTCATAATAATAATAATATATATTTATCCTCAAATTACTACGTTACAAGAGTCACGCCAGTTTACAGGCTAGATCACAAATGCTTTCACAATTACTGTAAAGTTATAGCAGTTAAATTAAGTATAAGAGTCAGTTTCTGATTGCATATTTACACCATGTCACTGACAGAAACAGTATTATACAGCCACATTTTTTATAGTAGAGTACAAATAATTAAGGTGCACAATATTTTCTTTTGGCGATTTGTCGAGATCAATAGTGAATTTGTTGGGAAAGGTCATATGGAACGCTCTTGATACGAGCTGTGATCCAGACAGTCATGTACATAGGGTGCATGATCCCCTGACGGGGCAAGGATTTCCCACCGTGAATGGGGTTCTGAAAAGGAGAAAAGAGAGAGAGAGAGCAAAAGGCAGCAGTGTGGCAAGTGTATATATATAACCAAAGCACTACTTAACCTGTCATGTTGAAGTAGTCAATACAGTAGTAGGTCAAGATAAAATTCATACTGACCACTTAAATTAAAGTAAATTATGGGAATATAAGAATATAACACACAGATAAAGGAGTACAGCAAAAAGAAGGAAGAGTTGTGCAGTTTCAGGTGGATAGAAGAGAAGTCGAAGTAAGAAGCTGGATTTATGTAAGTTGAAATCGAAACTCTAGTTGAAAGAGTAGAGTTTGTAAAAAGAAAACTTTGACGAATTAAATCTCGCACTGTCTAACTGTTTTTATTATTATTATCATTATTATTATTATTATTATTATTATTATTATTATTATTATTATTGAATGCCAACCTCTAAGTCATTCTGTGAGCGCCTGAGTAAGAATGTTGCGGGTGTCTCGACAGAATAGCGACCTGAGCATAGTTTTAGAAACAAGAACCACAGAAGTAGCAAGCGTATAAGAGCAACCTCAGTGTTACTGATTAGTCGTCTCATCAATCTA